ATATAGGTTATAGATCATTTATTAAGTTACTTGCTTACAAAATAAGGCATCAGAAAACACAATATAATGTTTTATAGTAATATACCAGCATACTAAGTACTTTAAATCTGATATTCAAGAATATTTAGCTGATATATTTTTACTTTAGTGATGTTTTAAATGCAGGACTTTTACTTGGAATGGAATATTAATATTAAAGGTCCCATGTTAGGCTCATTATCAGGCTCATACTTCATGATTACATGCTTTAATGTTAAAAGGGAACATTATTTTTCTTACATTCTCTGTCTGAAACATTCAGTTTTAAGTCCAGTTCAGATCGAAGATTGCAATGAGACGAGTTAAAACAGGCAACGACTTGCATTGCGGCGTTCTGCAACGTTCTAAAGTCTGCTGAGGATGAGACGATGTATCATCTCTAGTCAACAACCATCAGCTGGTTTGAGTCGAGCTCAGACCGCCCAGTTCACACCACTGACACTTTTCTCTGCCGCGTTCTAAAACGGTTTCGTCTCATCACCAGTCTTTGGACTGAGCTGGGCTTTACAGCCTCCTGAATTGCAATCACATCGCTAGGCAACAGCTTGGGTCCGTGTTTACTTCCTGTCAGCTGCTGTAATTCAAATATACAGCAATACAGTCAAACATTTGAAAGGACTTATATAGTTGCTTGTAGTTGTGACATCACAACTTCCCAGAAATCCTGATGGCTTGTTTAAAGGCAGTTTCTGAATAGGGACTGTGTGCTATCTGTGTGGACTGAGCAGTTTGATACATTCACAGTTTTATACAGCACCTGCTCTGTATTCAGAATCTGACTTTTTACAATATGGGATGTAGGGGTGTGCCATATCATCACGTTCACAATAATATTACCGACTCTGCAGTGGTTCCAAAAAGAGGAGCAGCTTCAGTAGTGTGGAATAAAGTTTGGCGTCCTGAATGTTTTACTTCTCTTAGCGCTCAGAGGGAACTCATTCAGCGGCTCCTCTGGCAGCAGCACAGCGTCTCTCCCTCTCCTCTCTCACACACACAGGAGTCTGTGTCGTCAAGTGATTTTGTCATAACCCTTTGGTGATGTAAACCTACATGATGCTTGCAGCTCAACAACAAACTCCATATATGTGACTGTGTGATAGTTTTGGTATCATAACAGCCTGTCACAGGTTACAGCGTGATGATTAGAGGAGAAATGGCAGAGCATAAAGGTCCAGGTGGGAAAAAAAACAATCGCTTTAGAGAGGTCGCCATCTTGCGCCGCCATGTATGTACGGCAGACCGAGCGGACAATCCAGCCAGCCAGAGAACGCGTTTCGCGTGTATAAATGAACCAACGAAGACAGCAGAAGGAAGGAAGAAGGAGGAAGAAACAGCAGAGTGTTAGTAGTTCGTCGATAGAGAGTAGTGAAAAGTTTTTTTAGTTATAAAGTTTGCGAATGGACCACACTTACCACGCAACAGGAGAGAATGAACCCGAACCGTCATCTGTGAGGAAAAGAAGACGCAACTTCACTCCTTGTGATGCACTCTCTGC